AATTTGTTTAACCTTATATAATATTAATATTACTTTTTTTACAAGAAAAATATGAATTTTGTTACGACTGCGTTAAATTAAATTATTAAAAAAAAAACAATTACAAAAAATCTAAGAATAGTAACAATTTTTAAAAATAAAAAAACTTAAACCCAATTATTTGTTATATTAAAAAATATATAAAAGATCAGTACAATTTTTAATTATATTATTAAAACTTAAAAGGAAAAACAAAATAATAAAATATTTGCAAATTGTTGTTGTTTTTTATTTTAAGTCACCAAAAACGACACCAAACTTGGAAAGGAAAAAGAAACTAAGTCGCATTAAAAAGAAATACATTTTATTTGATTTTCATTTTATTTTTCTTTATAAATATGCATTAATTTCTTTTTTCTTTCTTTTCAGACATATTTTTTGGGTTTTTTGGAAACGCAACGTTATTGAAAAATAAACCGGTTTTTTTAAGAAAACAAATTTTAACAAAAGAGAAAAAGAACAAAATTTTTTCTAAACAAAAAATGGGGTAACAAAAAAAAAATTAAATATAAAAACAGGAAACAAAACAGATGGAGTAGTGAGTTTCAAAAATAAACCAAAAATGATTTTAGTAAAATAAAAAAAATACAATTTTAGTTTCAATTATTTTAAACAAAAAATTCTAATTTGCAGAGAAAGAGAGAAAACGTAGCAGGTTGCTTAACAGGAGTTATGACAATTCAATTTTTTAATTTGTTTACTTGGATGTATTTGTGTTTTTTAGATTTATATAAATGGGGTTTAATAATATTTTTGTTTTTTTTTTATTAAAGTTATTACAACTCCTATTTAAAAAAGTTTTATTTTCTTCTTCTAGGGGAGATTAGTACGAATTTGTAATATAATTGTTTCTTTAATTATTAATTTATATATAGAAAATTATTTTATGTAATTGTTGTATATAATTTTTTTTCTTTTGGGGAGAGGAGTATAATTTTTATTTTTCTTTTTTTATTATTCCTTATAAAAATATTAATATTATTAATTTTTTGTTTAAATTTTATTTATGTTGCCCTAACATTTCTTAAAGGATTACAAAGGAAGATTTGAGAGAGGGAGAAAGTGAAAAAAACTAAGATTTTTATTTTTAATTAATTTTGATTGTTTTAACGAAATATTTAAAGAAAATAATAAAATTAAAGCATTTTTTCTTCAGTTTTCGTTTTTATTTAGAGTGTGTTAAATATTATTTGTTTAAATTTTTGTATTAAATTTTGTTATATAAACGCTTTATTAATTTTTTGTTGTTGTTGGTTGTGGTTTTTTCTAGGCATTTTATTCTCACTGTTAAGTTTCCATATATATATATGTATGTATATAATATTTGTAATACAGAATTTTTGTTTTGTTTTTGTAGTTTTCTTAATTTTAAAATAAAGAAACTGAATATTTTTTTTTTAATTTCGTTTTGCTGTTTGTTTAAAAATTTCTTACTTCTTAAAATTATTGTGTAATTATTTTGTGTGTGTGTGTTTTTTGTTGGTATGGTTATGTGTGTGTGTGGCTGCTTTTTGTATAATAATCAATTATTATAATAATATTGTTTTTTATAAATTTGTATTTCATTTTTTTTGTTTATATGTGATTCTATGGTAAATTTCTAATTAAATGGCCTTTTTAAACAATGGTATATTGTTTCTATATATATTTATATATAGATATTATGCAATTCATTATTTGCTTTGTTGTTGTTATATGATTTAAATAGGATACGTTTTGTTTAAGGAGTTAAAAAAGTTATTGTTTTTTTTGCGTTATATCTAATTTGAATTATTCCCGATTCTCAATTCATATTGTAGTTAGGTTAGATGTCGAGAGAGATAGAAAGATGATAAGAATTCTTTTTTTTTTTTTTGTATTGTTATTATCAAATTGAGCTTTATAGATTTCATTTCTTCTTGGAAATTAATTATGTTTTTTTTTGTTTTGGATAAAATCTTAAAATTATATATATTTTTAAAATATATGATGTCTGTGTGTGTTAAATTGTATTTCTTGTTTTTGTTTTTATTATTTTTTAATTAAGGCTATAGAGTAATTGGAAATTTTTTTCTTCAGACAATCATTATTATAATATGTATGTATGTTTATTTTTCTCTTTGTTAATAATTAATTTTTGTGTTTTTGTTGTCTATAAAAGAAAATACGTTTTGTTTATTAGATTACTTATTGTGATGTGTATTTTAATTCGTTGCAAATGAGTACGGCTTAGTTTGTTATTTGTTGTTGTTGTTTTTGTTCTCTTCACACAATGTTTTATTTTTTAAATTATTGTAACAAAAGACATAAAGGAAAATATTTTATATTTTTTAGAATTAAACATGTTTTTTAAACAAAATTATTAGAATAATAACACTAACATAATTGTGCCTTAGATACCAAAAGATTAAAATTTCAGAGAAAAATATTTAATTAAAAAAAATTCAACAAGTAAAATTCGGCAATTCAATACAAAATATAGAATTTTAAATTTTTATAAATATTTCCAATGTGATAGAACAATATTTTTCTTTTATTTATTTTTAAATTAAAACATTAAATATAATTTATATAATCCCATTTGATGTCATTAACATCTTGGCCTAAGTACAAGAACGGTTGACTGCGTTAAAATTAACGGCGGTATTGACCCAAAAATACCGCCAATTATTGACATTTACTGCGTTGCTGAGTGCTGTTACCGTTTTGTGGATTAATCCATGTGTAAAAACATTAATAATTCATCAACAATAAAAAATAAATATTTGTAATTCAATTTATTCGAAACAAGTGAAGAATAATTAAAATATTGTGGAAATTTGAGGAATTATCCGCGAAAATAATTTGTCAAGTCTTTGCTTTGTGCCGTTAAGAATATCAAATAGGAGAGGATGAGAGAAAGTCTTTTTACTCCCATTTGAAGCACAAAAACACATGGCAACCTTAAAAAACGCTTGACGGCGTTAACAACAAATGTTTCGTCCAAGTGTTATGTGTAAAATGGCGACAATTGTTGACAGTTGAGAGTTGTTAGAATAAATTAGATTTGAGAGAATATGGTGCATACTTTTAGGCATCTTAAACGTTCAATAACAAATACATTATTTAAGAAGTATTAAAGAACAATTTTGCCTAAGATATCAATTATTATATAAAAAAAAAAATAATTTTCAAAAATTTTAATTTGGAATCCTTTAATATTAAAAATTTGAAATTAATTTCGAATAAGCCAGATATTCTCCCACACAAGAAATCTGTTTCGGCTTCAATAGCTAAATGTTATTAAATATTTTCTTTTTTAAACATTGAAAACTTAAATATTTAGTTTTTTATTAATTAAGGGACATTTGGAAAGAAAAATTTCTAAGGCACAATTACGACGAAAAAACGACCGACATAATAAATATTTTCAAAAACAAAAGAAACATTTAATTTTTTATTTAAAACGTAACAAAACAACAAAACTCAAATTATGTCCAAGCCAATTGATTTTGAAGATCAAAGAATACCAAAAAAATTAAAATTCTGGGATTTAGTTTTCGAGGCTGGACGGTGTTTTTTTTTACTAAACAATTTAAATAACATTCAATATCAAAATAACATACCAAAAAAAAATAAACAAATTTTGTGTCAAACATTAATGGAAATTGTTAAAAATTGTGTTATTGTTTTTTTTTTCTTCAATATTATATTAAATATTTAGATAATGTTTAATTATATAATAAATAAAACATGTATATGTATTTTGTATATATATTTACTAATTATTTTCCTTTTGTCTTTCGTTTGGTTTGTTAATCAATTTTAGATTCCCTCTTCAAAATTCCTTTTTTTCAGGAAAAAAAATATCCAATATTTTGTTTATAAGTGACAGCATTAGTTTCGTAATTTTGTTTATTTTAATTTCTTAGTTTTAATTAATTGTTGTTATTTAAATTTATATATAATTTATTTTTAATTTTCATTTTTTCTTTTGTGTGTTTTGTAAAAAGTAATTTAAATATTCTCATCAACGCCTATATATGCTTGAAATATTTTGTTTCCTTGTTGTTGTTTTTATTATTAATTATTATTCTTTTTTTAATTCAATTTTCCTTGAATTCAGTCAATAATTTGTGTGTGTTTTGTGTAGGCTTAAATTTAAATATATATTTTTTTAAGATTTTTGTGTGTTTTGTAATTAAGTTTTTTTTTGTTAAGCTTTGCTTAGAATTTTTGTTTTTTGGAAATTTAATTATTTTGAAATTTTGTTGAAAAAAAAGAATGTATAGAGACCAAAAAAATTATTAATTTTTTAATAAAATAAAATACAAAACAAAAATATACTATTTTGCAACTGATAATAGAAAACATAAAAAAATATATTTTTTTAATTATTTCTAGATTTTTTTAATTGTGTAAAATATTGTTGTTGTTTTTTATCCTTTATTGTTTAATATAAAATGTGCTTAAAAATGATTTTGTTATTTTTTATATATATTTCTTGGATTAAAAAATTAAGCTGATTTCTTTGTGGTGTCTACTTTGTTGTTGTATTTGTAAAGATTATATTTGTTTAAAAAAATGTATTATGTTGTTGTAATTAAATATTTTGTTTTGCCATCTTTTTTATAAGGAGGACGCCTGTGTTAATATTTTTCCATTTTCTTATTTTGCAAATTCCTACTGATTTCTTTTCTTTTTTAAATTTTTATTTTTCTTAATTATAGAAAAAATTTATATTTTTATGTTGTTAAATATTTGTTTGTTTGCCTATAGTATTGCTTGTGTATTGTTGTTGTTGTTTTCTAAAAACAAAATATAATTAATTATTGTGTGAAGTTTTCATCTTATTGTTGTTTTTGTAGCCATATTATTATGATTTTTTTATAATAATAATAATTTTGTTTGTGTTTTTTGTTGTTGTTGTTATATATAATTTCAAGAGGATTATAATTTTTTTGCTTTTTTAACATTAATTTTGTGTGTTGAGTTTTTGTTAATTTGTTTTTATTTTTTTATTTTGAATTTGCGTTTTTTTAACTCCATGTAGAAAACGTATCCGTATACCATTGTTCGCCATTAGTGCCTAATGGTTGTTGTGGTAGTGGTAAACTGCCCCAACTGCCGCCATTTCCTATTAAACCGCCTGGGTAACGTCGCTTAATGTCTGCTGGATTTTGGTGACCTCCATCGAATTTACGTTTACCGACTACTACTTTACGAATGGAATGGGGTTCGAGGCATGCCGCCATACATTATTACGTGGAGATGTGGTGATAGTCAAAAAATTTTGCAGGTTGTTGTGTTGTGGTTGGCATCATAATTTTTTATGTTGTTGTTGTTGCAAATGAAATCATTTAAACAAAAAAATAAAGAACACAGGGCAGTTATTTTTTACGAGGTAAAAGTATCGCAGATATTTGTATAGCGGGGTTTTTTGGTTTTGGTTTTTTTGTCGGTTGAAAGGGGAAATATTCAAATAAATATTGGCAGTGAATGTGTGTGTGGCAATACGGGGAGAAACAGAGAAAGAGAGAGAAAGAAAGAAAAAAGAGAGAGTAGACAAAATTTTTGTAAGATTAATTTTCGGTTTTTTTGATTTGTTGCTATTTTAAGAAAATTTGGTTATTGATTTTTTTTCTAAATTATAAAATTATTTTTTTTCGATTTGTTTTAGAAATACAATTTTTTTGTTCATATAAATATACAAAAAATATATTGAATTGGTTAATAATTATAATTATTACACATTTATATAACAATAAATGGAATGGAAATACAAAAAATAAAAGTAAAAGTCAATTGATAAATAATAATAATAAAACCAAACAAAACATTTATATTTAATAAGAATAATAAAATCTTATTTAAAATATGTTTACTTATTAAAAAAAAAAATAAATGATGTGGAACAAATAATGGAAATTAAATTAATTAAAAAAAAAAAATAAATAAATGCTAATAAGTAAATAAGTTATGATTTTTAAATTGATATTTTATTAGTTCTGTAATGTAAATCGATAACAATTAAAATTTATAAAATAATCACCCCTTTTCCGTATGTCGTCATCGTTGTCGACGACGTTTCTCTTTCGACATCACTTCGCATCGACATCACTTCGACACTGATTTGGTATTCTGTAACACTCATGCGACGATGTCGACTATTTATCGATAATATCAATGAAAATAAAAAACACATCTCTAAAAATGTGGTCAGATGTTTATTTTGTTGCATATTTTTGGGCAAAAATGTGTTTGTATCCTTCACCGCACTGTGGCACAGGACATTATGTCTTGATAAATGTGTTTGCAACGACCAAAAAGAAACGAGATAGACCCATAGTTACTTTTTAGTATATATGTACATACAATTATTTTTCAGTATTATTTTAAACAAGTTACATGCCACCATTATGATCCGTACGGGATGAAATTTGGAAAAAAATCCATCCAATTGGGATGAAATTTTATTTCCACATAGACGAGTCCTATTGACATTGGTCAAAATCGGTTCTGATTTATATATGTTTTTATTTTTAATTTCTAAAAAAATTGTTCAAACGCTTCAGTCGTCAACAAAAACTATGACGAAGAAATCTTTGACATCGTCGTCGTCACACATTGTTACGGAATACCAAAAATGTTTCAATAGTTATCGGTAAATGTCGACAACGACATAGGGAATACCAATTTGCAAAAGACGACTCTCTTCGACGTCGTTTCGTGTCGACTAAGACATACAGAATAGGGGTGATTATTCATAGTTCTAATATAAATAAAATTGCATCGATTTACATTATACATATATTACTTTATATTCCTCCATATTATTCCGTTTTGACACCTACAACGTGGAAAGTAACCGATTACATTTATATTTCAATGATCAATTGATTCAAAAGCCAATTTCTAATCAAAAATTTTAATACATTTATAGGTTTACACAGAAGGAAATTATAAGTTGATGTATCAAAACAAAAACATGTGATTTTTATTCGATCAGCTGTCACATTTTATCTAATAATAGTTCTAAATGGAATACTCCAAGTCACAATGAATAGGTAGTCCATTTAACGCTGCTGATGACTCGACGAACTGTCAATGTGCGTAATTTATAATTGAATTCGATGTGCAATGTTGCCAACCATGTGAAATATTATAAGGAAAAATTTGACAGATGGTCGAGACAAATACAAAGGTTTTTGTTGTGATACATCACCTTATTATTGCATCATGGGAGTTTTTGTTTTGTGTCAAACGGAATATGTCTGGAATCATAAACAAATATATTTTTGATTATTAATTAATAAATAATTTTTTTGCTTCATAAAATCTGATTAATTTCAATTGATTTTAATAAAAAAATAACATTTAAAAATTTTCTTTCATTCAATACATTTTTGGGTTATGAAATAATAATTCAATTCCCAATAAGAGCTGTCAATGAGGAAATTTGGGTAATATGTGTTGCCAACGACTCTCGAATAATATGGTAACACTGGTAGAAAATTGGAAACTCCATTACTATTAAATAATTCAAAAATCGTTCATATCTACAGATCATAGACCAGATTATAACACTCATGATGTAATAAAACAAAAACATCTTTTATTTTATTCAACCATCTGTCAAATTTTATCTAGTAAAGTTTTTCATGGTTGGGAACATTGCTCGCCGAATTCAAGTAGAAACCAAGATCTATTATTAAGATCACACAGCAAGCGCAAGTCAAGTCTAATGTCAAAAGATTGGACTTCGTTCACGTTTTCATGAATGTCCTTATTAAGAGGCTTTGGTAGAAACTACAAAAAACATGGTTGGCAACATTACACATCAAATTCAAATATATATATATACTATATGCCACTTCAAATTGGTCTTAATACTTTATTTTCCGTAGTCGAATCAATTCAAAGATTTACTAAGGTATTGTTTTATTTCAAATAAAAACTACTTTTTTGAAAATCTAATTCACTATCAGCTGTTTTTATGAATCTATCTTAAATATTGTTTACTATGAACCATGGTACAATAACTAGGTACTTCATCATGGCACAATGAATAGGTAGTCCATTTAGAACAGCTGATGTTTTGATTAACTGTCAAAGTGCGTAATTTCAACTTGTTGCCAATCATTTGAAATATTATAAGGAAAAATTTGACAGATGGTCGAGACAAAAACAAAGGTTTCACTTTAATATTGCATCATGGCACTTCATCTAGCACAGCTGACTACTCAATCAAAGTTGCAGTGATGCCAACCATAAGAAATATAACTATATAAAATTTGACAGATGGTAGAAAAGGAAGAGATGTTTATAAATAGTGTACAAACGCCTTGAGTGTTGTAATGTCTCCTGAATCGACAATAGGGATATGTAAATGGATTTTCGCTTTACTTTTTTGTATTGAAAAGTCTAAAAGTCGACTTTTTATCTTTGAGGAAATCGCAAAGTCGACTTTCAAGATCGTCTTTCTTTCTTCATAAATACTTGGCTTATTTTCACAAACCAAAATTATTCAAAAATTACACATTCCAAAACTTTATATTATCTTTTGACAACAACTCATATTAAAAATATAAAATTTATTCGATTTTGTACAAGTCGGAAATCGTAAAAAAACGATTTTGAACGGGATTGACAAAATCGAATGATTGAAATTTCGACATTTTAGTCAAAGGCAAAAATCGAAAAGTTTTAATGTCGACTTTTGCGCTCGACTACGTAACCACAATCAACACAATTGTAATTCGAGGAACTAATTTAGAATAGCATTGACATAATATAAATAGTTGTCAGTCAGCTGATATTTGTTAACGTGTACATACATATTTCATTGGTTTCAAAATTGTTATTGGAAATGATGTGTAATTTACCACATTTTGAGAGTGGGAACAGACCAAAAGCGTTGCCAAATGACTTTGTTTAGGAAAATTGGTTATTTTTTTTAGCGCAAAAACAGAGTTGTATTTCCAATTATCTCAGGATTATCTTGGCACAGGATTTCGAGCAAATCAATATAAATAGTCGATTTTATTGTGTATGTTAATCGAGTTAAATATAGTTCGATTTAGTAAAATTAATCGGGATAATATATATGATCACGATATAAGCCATAATTTAAAGGTGCTTTAACACATAACATGTTTAAAGTAAACCTTTTTTAACCGCTAATTTTATTTTTATTTTAATTTATATTACGAGTCGTTAACAACACAATAATAGTTTATATTCAGTATTTTAATACAACGAAAATAAATTGCATACAATTTCAGGTTTTTTGTTTCAATGAAAAATTTATTTGAAAACAAAATTGCATGAATAGTAATAATAAAAAAATTTCAATATAAACAAAATTTAGAAATGTGACAAGAAGAATTCAATAAAATATTTTCAATGGAACGAAACGAAATCTTATTAAATTTGCAAAACAAAATTAAGTTTGTGTCTAGAGAGAGAAATGTGGAAAACAAAAATTAAATATGAATAAAAAAATTAAACGAATATATAGTGGACAATGACATAAGAAACAATTGTATATAAAAAAAACATCAAACATTTAACAACAATAATTTTTTTGTTTGTTTTTTGAATTTTTCTATAAAGAGGTGAAAGTAATTGGGTTCTTGTTTTGGAAGAAAATTATTTCTGGATAATTGCTTCAATTTTGTTCCGTTTTGAGATTTCTTATTTGTTTTCGTCTTGAGTTTTGTATATTATTTGAGAATTATATTTTGTATAGCTTGCATTTGAAATATTGATTGTTCGTTTATATGTATTCAAATTCATTGAGTCTTCAAAATACGTTCATTGTATTTAGGCATTGACTCCAATTGACGCTATTCACATATATAAATAATAACACAAGAAAATTAAAGAGAAATTAATAAAAATAAATTTTAGAATGTTTAAAAAAATAATAAAACATATAAAAAATCAAAATATGAACATATTATATTTTGATTTTTTATATGGAGTGTAATTTGTGAAATTATAAAAGTTATTTGTTTGATTCATCATCTACATTAACATTAAAAGCTTATTGTATTTAAAATAATGTAAACAATTCAACAATGTTGTAGATAATGCTAATGTAAACGTAGCATTTGTTTAATTCGACACTGTTTCCCTAGTCTAGTTTAAAACGGCATTTACATTACTTTATGAGGATATATTTGACATATATACAATAGATTTGACAATTTAAAC